AATCATCCATATGCTAACTGTATCCGCCTACGCTAAGCCTTTGTTCTCATTTTCTCACCACCAATATTGGGGACATAAACATTGACGTCAATTACTGTCTACCAACTTTGGCTAGCAGCCAGCTGTCATCACACAACTACAGTGTGAAGTCAGTGTCACTTTACAGATCGGAGACTTTGTGCCACGTCACCAAGAGCACTTCGATCAAACTACACACCTTCATCAACAGGCGTCTTCGTTCAATACTACTCAAGATCAGATGGCCGGTCAGAAAAGATCAGCAACAGGGATCTCTGGCAATGAATGAACCAACCCAGAAGGAACTAATTGTGCAACAAATATGCAGGAAGAAATAGAGGTGTATTGGCCATACTCTGAGAAAACAAACCATGATCAAGTGAGTGACATCACACACAAGTCCATCGCTCGAGTGGGACTCGACCGAATGGGAAGCGGCGAGTTGGTCGTCAGTGCGAAGGTGGGGTGACATGGAGGAGGAAAAGGAGGTGAAGTGAAGAGAAGATGAAGGCATGTGGGCAGACGTTGGTGAGATGGTTGAAAACTGTTCTCAATAGCACAGTTACATTTACTCTTTTTAATCTTCCGTATTCACTAAATGGTCATGCTTTTTCTCCTGTATATTTCTATTTATGATATAAGTATAAAACTTGGGCACTGTGGTAGAGTATAACTCCACTATGCATAAGATTTTATTTTGATAAAATCACACAGTGTTGTGTTAAACAGTAATATTAACTGGTGACCACGTTTCGAGCACAAATTATTGCCACCCATAATCATATGAAGTTACTCACTCACACAACTTTTTTCCTTCATTTATATGCATGTGTGGAACTGACTAGATTTTGGGATCAAAATTCAATATGAGATAATGTACATTCAGAAATAATAATATGAGTGTTATTGATCAATTATAATCAGATGGGAAATAAGATGAGTGTTTTTTAATAGTCAAAATAAGTAACTTGTTAGAATGTCGTGATGTGCTTGAATTGAAATAGAATTTTGAGATTATTTATTATCGTCCTCTGATTTGACTGACTGGTGATAATAATATCTTCCATATCTCTGGTATTTGCGTTGAGTCATTTCTGTTGCATGAATCAATGAATCTCTCTCCACCTACATAGATTACTTCTTAGAATCGTAACCCTCTCCCACGCTATTGTGTGGTTGTGCGCAATTTAGAGCAATTTAGAAAAAAGCTCAGCAATTGCACTACATGCATTAACACATAACCACACAATAAGGGTGGGAGAGGGTTAAACTTCTAAGAAGTAATCTATGTAGGTGGAGAGAGAGATTGATTACTGAATCCTAATTCATTGTGTCTACACCCAACACAATAGATGTAACAGAAACGACCCAATGCAAAAACCAGAAATATGGAAGATATTATTACCACCAGTCAGTCAAATCAGAGGAGGATAATAAATAATCTTAATATTTCATTTCAATTCAAGCACATCACAACATTCTAACAAGGTACTTATAATGACTGTAAAAACACTCGTCTTATTTCCCATCTGATTATATTTCATTGATAACACTCATATTATAATTTCTGAATGTACATTATCTCATATTGATTTTTATTCCAATATCTATGTTTATATACATAGAATATTCTAGAATAGTAATCAATATCAATATCAGTGTGTTTTTTAAATAATATCGATTTGTAAAATAAGATTATGACGGAATTACAGTTCATTAAAGATGCTTAAATTATAATAATAATAAAAATATAATCACGAATATAATACCAACTAAAATTAGAAAAATTTCACAAAAACTGAGGATTATTCAAACCCAGATGGCCAAGGTAAGGATAATGTCTGAACTAACTTCTTTTGGATGCTCCCAGAGATTCCTGTTCCTGGTCTTTTCTAGGCGGCCATCTGATCTTGAGTATTGAGCGAAGACAGCTGTTGATGAACGTCTGTAGTTTGTTTGAGGTGCTCTTTATGACGCACTGGCCAAGTTTCTGATCCGTATAGTGAGTAGCACTGACTTCACATTGGAGTTGAAAATCCACATCTTATTTTTGATGCTGAGTGCTGCTGACCTCCACACAAACTTGAGAGTAATGAAAGCTTGTCTTGCTTTTCCGATCCTTGCTTTGATATCCTCATCAATTCCGTCCGCCTGTAGTTGAAACGATGCTTCCCAGGTAGGTATGTAAAGGAGGTTGTTTCTTTCATGTTCCTCCCATTTATGCTGATTGTTGTCAGTTGTTGTTGTTGCTGTGGCTGTTGGCCAGGAATCTTCATCACCTCCGTTTTCTCTGTGTTTACTTAGAGTCCTATCTTTGATGCTTCTTCTGCCAACTTGTCGCTTTTCACTTGCATATCTTCCAGTTTGTGGGAAATCAGATATATATCATCGGCGAAGTCCAGATCCTCCAGGTTTTTTGTGTGAGTCCATTTTATGCCTGTTTCCTCATTGCCCGCTTCCTCTCTGCCGCATTATCCAATCTACTGCAATCAGGAAAATCATTGGCGATAGTAGGCAGCCAGCTTGTCTTACTCCTGTCCTCACTTCGAAGGATTCCGTGAATTTCCCATTGTGGATTATTTGGCATGCAGCGTTGTCATACAACTGTTGGATGAGATGTATAATTGTCGGCGGCACCCCGTAGTAGCGAAGTAGTTTCCAAATCACCTCTCGATCGACGCTGTCTGCTGAAGGCCTTTTCAAAGTCGATAAAGTTGAGATAGAGAGGTGACTGCCATTCCAAACTTTGTTCAATGATGATCCGTAGTGTGGCGATTTGAACAATACATGACTTGTTTCTCCTGAATCCAGCTTGTTCCGGTCGAAGTTTTTCATCCAGGGCTTGTTTGATCCTTTCCAGGATGATGCGGCTTAGTATTTTGCTTGGGATGGACAGGAGCATAATTCCGCGCCAGTTCTTGCATTGACTTAAGTCTCCTTTCTTTGGTAGTTTGAATAAGTATCCTTTCTTCCAATCCTCGGGTACTACACAAACATGATATATAGGCATTATGTCATCATGATATGTAAGCGTCAGAACCAACAGTTAAGTACCTTGAAAATCCCCATTCAGTCAAATAAAAGAAAAGAAGGCGTTCAGCGAAGAGACTCTTTTCGGCGAATTCATTTACTGAGCTGTACAATCGCATATTTACACAATTTTTGTTTGTGTGGTTGTACATTAGATTTATAAAGTTTAGATAATTATGTAATATAGGTATTATTTGGCTTAGGGACAAACGTTAAGATGGAAAAAATAAAATAGAATTGATTAAGTGAATTGAATGACGTAATACAGTTGAGTAGAATTCAGATTAGGTCAGGTTGGTAACAGTGTTAATGAGTGGTGGTTAAAGTCAAATAAGGGTGGGTGTAAGCGCAATATCGCTTGAAATTAAGTCACGCGTAGATAAAGGCTATCCCGGTCCAGAACAAACAAGAAGCCGGTCACTGTTTCTACGGTACTATTAATAAACAAATCAATTAATATATATACAACAAACCTTAACGGTTTCAAGAGTACAATACACAATGCTTAACAGAAAGCAAGGCACCGCTATCAGAGCGGATAAACGTTAAAGCCAAGATTACGAACTAGCCGGATCAGACACGACCGTTCAGGTAAGCAGTCAGTAGAAGAATGAACCCAAGTAAGAGATAGACAAAGCATAGGCACAAAGATAGAATTTAATTGGCTACTTAACCAATCAATAAATAAGATAAACTCAACAGAATAGTACAAAGACATGGGGCAGCAAAATAACAGTTCACAAAAATACTCTGATTGGGTCATGAGTTCAACTGTCTGACTAAAAGGATCGAAGTAAAAACACACATACACAGTTAATTAAACAAGGTGGGATAGACACGTTGGGCATGGATAATTGTGTTGCAACAATGCTAGGCTGATCCGGGACAGGTTGACTTGATTTAAGGATGGGAATGGAATTCATCTTACAGTGGGGTTAGAGAATAATACAGTTGAAAGTAAGTAAGTTAACCGGATGACGTAACATAGTTGACTAGAAATTGGACGTCGGTCAAGTTAGTAACATTGTTAATGACGGTAGAGATTACAAAAGGGTGGGGTAGAGAATAATATAAATGAAGATGTGAAATAATAAAATGCATAAGACAAAATAATACAATTGGTAAGACTGAAATTAAGAAAGATTACGTCCACTGTAGATTTAATGAATGAACGAATTTCTTTTGTAGATAACTACAGAATACAAGGCAATCTTGCTAAAAGTGTACGGATCAAACTTCTTCACATCGCAGAAGCAATGGCAATTCATCTGCTAAATCCTGAACTCTGTATACAGAAGAAATTCGTTCATTCATTAAATCTACAGTGGACGTAATCTTTCTTAATTTCAGTCTTACTAACTGTATTATTTATATTATTCTCTACCTCACAGCTTTTGTAATCTCTACCCTCATTAACAATGTTGCTAACTTGACCCACGTCCAATTTCTAGTCAACTGCGTTACGTCATCCGATTGATTTACTTATTTTCAACTGTATTATTCTCTAACCCCACCCTTATTTAATTTCTAACCACCACTCATTAACACTGTTGCCAACCTGACCTAATCTGAATTCTACTCACTTAATCAATTCTATTTTATTTTTCCCATCTTAACGTTTGTTTCTAAGCCAAAAAAATACTTATATTACATAATTATCTAAACTTTATAAATCTAATGTACACACAAACACACACAAACAAAAATTGTATAAATATGCGATTGTACAGCTGAGTGAATGAATTCGCCGAAAAGAGTCTCTTCGCTGAACGCCTTCTTTCCTTTATAGAACCAACAGTTGCCAAAATAAAATTTTAAAAAAACTAACGAATTATACCCCATTAACCATTTATACATAAAATAAACACACTAAAATATATATAGATATAAAATTTTAAACATTCATGCAAGGCGACTCAAAGCAAACCGGGGAAAAAGATTCTTTAACTTACGTGATGATAATCGTCCAATAATTCAGAACCAGACATTAAATAATCGATCTGATTTTGAAGAGAAAGAGGGCGAGAGAGGGGGGAGACAGAAAAAAAGGAAAATAAACGAAAGCGCAGAGATCAACACTCACTCATAGACACTTGAATGAAAAAAACACTTGCGTCAGGGGAAATCGACTGCATTATTAGATAAGTAAAAATGATAAATGTGTTATAGGTCGTCTGTAGGAGTCTTTATAAGACTGGAATGGGGGTAAGCATTTAAACAAACCAAACGACCAACCAACTCACTCACTCACTCACTTACTCGGGGAAAAACTTTCTCAACTTGAAGACAGAATAGATACACTTATGAAAAATATCACAATTTACCAAATACCCTTTAATGACCATAGTGACGTCGATTCTGTCTGGATTCAACATAGAACTTGGCACCGAAGTGCAGCAGTTCCAGTTGCCACGTTCCAAAAGCACACAAAGGTAGACAAGGAGATGAGTGAAGAGAATCAATAGAATTTAGACAAGTATAAGAGTGAAACAGAATGAGTAATGGTAGAAAGGAATATGAAAGATTACAGAAACTGAATACTTCTGTGTAAGCCATTGACAACGATTTTGAGCCATGTCACCTATTGTCTCCAGCCAGCCATTGATTCTTAGAGTCCCGAGGGTGGGCCCCAACCAGGAAGTCTGCATCTCCCTCCCTACCTGACTCAGTTTAACTGTCAAGGATTTCATGGACTGATGCCATGTTTTTGTTTGGCCACCACTTACTCTTTTCCAACCTACACCTATATCAGCTAGTAATGCCCGTTGAGAGGGGGAGGCGATGGTTAGGCATGCGCACCACGTGACCTAGCCATCTCAATCTATGTAACTTTATAGTCTCGTCGATTGATTTTCCCTCTTTGCCCTAACGTCAACATTACTTACCTTATTATACCACCTAACGCGAGAAAGAGATCATAAGCATCTGTAGTCAAAAACAGACAATCTCTTCATGTCTTCCGCTCTCAATGGCCACGTCTCACCGCCATAGAGAAGGGCGGAGCGAACTGCTGAGCAGTATACACGTCCCTTGGTTGACAGCCGGATGTCACGCCTACGCCAGAGACGGTGTAAGTTAGCGAAAGCAGCCCGAAGGAGTCTTAGTAAGACTGGAATGATGGTAAGCATTTAAACCAACCAACCAATCAACCAACCAACTCACTCACTCACTTACTCAGAGAAAAACTTTCTACATTTGAACATAGAATAGATACAATTACGAAAAATATTATAATTTACCAAATACCCTCTAATGACTAGTGACGTCGATTGCATAGACCGAGTTAGTAGATCCGGAGTTAAATAGATTATTAGAACATAGAAATATTTATTAGCTAAATTTAGAATGTAAAACGAGCAATAAAGGCTAATAAAGCAGGATTTAATGATGGATTCATCAAATTTCGGTAGAACTTTTCCTCAGCTGAACACTCTACATACACGGATATATATATATACTTTTGAAATTACATTGGGAGATATAAGAATGATAAGCAAATAAACTATATTGAATTAGTCATGCAGAAAGACAAGTGCGAATGTTTTCCAGATCATGTTCAAATAGATAAGGAGTCAGAGAGTATGAGAGATCAAAATTAAGGTAAATTGCACTACGCTTCAATTACACCACTTAGATAAACAATTACACATTAGAGAATATAACAAGTATTGCAAACAGAGTAATATCAGTAGTAATAGTTATAAGAATAATAATAGTGTTGAAGTGAGTTAAGATAATCCCAGTGATAAAGCATAGTTTTAAATGAATCAAGAATAATAAGAGGTAGAATAATAAGTAAAACGTATTACCATGGTAGATTCAGAGTCACGACCATCTCCTTTTGTACACAAAGACCTGGTTTATGAACTCGAATTGCACAAGCCTCTGCAATTGCAAGCATCCTCCTGTTTCTTTGTCTGTCTGCTGACAATAGTGAATGACTTGACCGCATCGATATCATGTCCGTAATCCACAAGATGTTTTGTTATTGAGGATTTTGGCACTTTGCACTCAGCTGTTTTCAACCATTTTGGCAAATGCTCCATCATGCGAGTAGACAGACAATCGCCTTTCTGTACGACCTATGTATTTTCTTCCACAAACACACTCAAATTGATATACGTAGTCTGAAGTGTCGAGGATTGGCGACTGGTCTTTCCCAGACTGCTGAAGCACTCGCTTAATGGTGTTAAGGAAAACACGTTTTGCAGCATAATAAGTTCTCTTGATAGCTTTGTTGAGTCTTCTTTTGACCACTTCCTGTACATCATCTCCTTTGAACGGCAAGTTGATATAGACAGGTTTCTTCGGAACTGTTTGGATTGTTTTGCAAGGGCTATTTTCTTTAGAGTATTTGATGAATTCATTAAATCCTGCTTTACTAACCTTTATTGATTGTTTTAAATTCGAATCGAGAAATAAATGTTTTTATATTGAGAATGATTGAAGCCGCTAAGTTAAATAATGTGGAAAAAATTGCTCGACCGCCATACAAATGGTGGGTGGGTGGGTGAGATAAGGTGAGAAATTATTAAAAAGTAATAGAGTTAGTTGAAGAGAAAGAGAGAGAGAAAGAGGGAGTTAAATCACTGAATCATTGTTTATCAAATCAATATAAAACAAATGCAAGGCGTTCGAAGTGAAGTCAGGATAAGACAAGGTTGGCTGCCGATTATCAACCACGATGATATTCTTAAATGTGGTAGACTGGATTACGAGTAAGATTGTGCACAAGGAGCGAGGAGTCAAAAATACCCCGCACGACAGATCAGAAGAATCTAGAATGTCCGGATTTCTCAGATGATATATGTCTAATGTCACACAAACTCGACGACTAACAGGCAGGCGAAAACAAACATACTGGAAGAAGGGGCTGGTGGATGGCGAAGACAGGAGTCCAGGTGAACATAAAGAACCACCACCAATGACCTCCCAAAGGATAGATTTGGGAGAGGTCACTTCCTTCACTTATCCAGCCAGGAAGCATCGTTTCAACTACGAGAAACTCGAACGGGTGAAGATGTCAAAGCTAGCCAGTGTGGATTGTAAAGGCAAGATACACCTTCATCAACCTGAAAAAAGTTCGGAAATCTTCTGCTTCACTCAGTCAGCATAAGGAACAAGATTCGGATTTTCAACACTAACATAAAGTCTGTCCTTCTCTATATATGGGTCAGAAACTTGCACTGAGTGTCAGTCACGAAACGGATTTCCAACAAACCACAATATACGTTTTTCAACAGCTGCCTTCACCGGCTTAAAACTGAAGATGAAATGGCCATCCAGAAAGAATTAGCAATAAGAAACTCTGGCTGTCAATAAATCAACAAGCAAGAGCGGATCGCTCAACAAATATGTAGGAGAAAATGGGGATGGATTGATCTGGCATACGTTGAGGAGGCCGTCGAATGACATCGAGGGGAATGCAAATCAGCGCTCGAGTGGAATCCAAATGGGAAGCGACGAGTGGGTTGTCGGTGTGAGGGTGACATGGAGGAGATGAGAGATTATGAGCATTCGTGGAACTAGCTGAAGAGTATAGCACCAAATAAAAAAGTGTAGATGTGTTTTTGAAGCCCTGTATTCCACTCGGAACCCAAAGGAACAATAATAACATAATGATACATGGAAAATCTGCAATAAAAACCGGCAGTAGGGAGTTAGGCTACAAAATGCAAGTAAGGAAGACATGTGAAAACAGCGATGTGATTATGAGCAGCAATAAATTGTACTCGAAACTTCTTCTAATTAGTAATACTGTATCACGCATTGTGTATTATATGAACCAAACATATCTGATATGGAATCATTCTTTACCATGTAATGCCCAGTTGGATATACACTGACGAGATTGTTCAGGCCTTCAAGTGGAAGTTGGATGGGAAACGGTGAGTTTGGAGTGGGGTCCAAGGGAGACACTGAAAACGCTAAAAGAAGGTTATCACAAATTATGGGCAGTCGTGTAGCCAGCTAAAGAAGGTTGTGGAGAACAGGACAACATGGAGATGTGGTTTTGAAGCCTTATGTTCTACTCGAAACCCGTGAGAACAATAGTAGTGTATAATACAGTTTCCACATTCTACCCTTATATTAGTGAAAATCGACAGTCATTACAATTACTGTGAATATTCAATTATTTGTGTTCTCCGAGCTAGCTGGTTGATTTTATTGCGAAGCTTTCGTCGTTCTTCTAGATAGCATCCCTCTTCAGCGCAGGTTTTAGTATAAAATAGACTCATTGGAATTCTTAGTGAATGGCAGTTATTTGTATGTCCTGACAATCATTGTCCTGACTGGTTGTTGATTTACGCCTCTATCGACCATTTTATTGACTTCTCATGTGATTTACTTCTCATCAGCTGGTAAATGTGGTCTATACTAATGTTTGTTTGTTAATTGCTAGTTCACTTGAGTACCAACCAAGCTTCTAGGAATTTCCTGATGCATTTTTGCTGTTTCCTCTATTTCAGCTTTCCACATTATCCCAATCAAATTGGTGCCCATAATTATCTACATGTATTGATAGGAAAGAATATATATCACATCTTTTCATCACAGCCAATTTGTGTTCCTGTTTACTGATTCGACGAGGACGCCCACTTTGACCGATGTGATGTTTATTGCGGTTCATGTATGCAATTTATTTTGTTAATGGTATTCATTTTATTTTATTTTCCTGCTGGATTTTTTTGGGTTGTACAATATTGAATAAAATAATTGCACAGGATGGCTTCTGTGTTATATCGATTTCAAACGTCCCTAATATCCTAGCTGTTATTTTGAAAATTCACTTGAATACCAGGCTTCAAGGAATTCCTTGGCAAGTGAATTACCATTTGACAAACACATTACTATGGACCAAATTTACCAGCTAATGAAAAGTAAATCCCATGACAAGAAAGTTCAAATTCCAAGTCGATAAAAACGATCAATAGAGACTTAAATTAACAACCAGTAACGACAGTGGTTGGCCGGAGATACAATTACATCATTCATGGAGACTTCAGATAAGTCCATTTTAAACGGAAACCTGTGCTGAAGGAGGATGCTGTCTAGATGGTGGATGATGAAAGCTTCGCAATTAAATCAACCATCAGTCCAGAGAACACAACTAATTCATCGTGACCAGTAGGGTGCAGCAGATAGGATGTGGGGACAAATACTCGCCGAAGACATAGGCTAGTGGTTGCGCTATGTCTTGAATTGGTAGAAGTCAGAATTCATGGGCTGGTCATTGGATCGGGTCCCAGTGGCTTAATGGTCTACGAGCTCGCCTTGTAACCAGAAGGTCCTGGGTTCGAATCCCGGTGGGTGCGTACTGATGAAGAGTCTCAAACTAAAGGGACGAAACAGCTGCCCAGTACTCCCAGGATTTCCGGTGATTCACTAACCGATATCAGCTCATGATGAAATCCTGTAACTAATTCATCAGTATCAACCACCTGAGCTACAAATCTTCTCCGTCATTATTATTAAGAATTTTTAAATTTTTTAAAATTTTACTGATAAGATCAACACAATATCGGATATGCAAACATTATTTTGCATGATAAAGCAAGGTGCACACAAGATCTATTCATCATATCTCATATAGATAGATAGCGATCACAGAAGTGATGTTAAATAAGGCATTTAAAATTATTCATTTGAAGAATCCATGTACATTCAAACGAAATTCATACAGCAACTATCCTTATCTTGGCCATCATAACTTGACTGCAAACATCTGACAATTTCCCCTTCCGCCTAAAGCCTTTTACCAGTTGTTATCACTTTAACCGTCTCATTATTCTGTTTGTTTCATATTTAAGTATTTCCTCCTCGTAGTCAATTTAAACAACCAATTACCTCTTATTTATGCCTATGTTCTGGCAAAAATGATGCACCATATAAGCCACCTGTTTAATTTTAACAAATATTTCTACCCTTTAATTGTTGCATTGTTATTGTTGGTTATTTATCACCTAATGCCTCCTTGAAATATTGATTTTTTTTATTCCTTTACGGCCTCAGTGGAGCATAGGCTGGCTTCAAGCCAGTGGCTTGAAGTTTTTCCGATAGCATTGGCATTTATTTTTACGGGATGGGGGTGCTAGCTTACCTCCCCTCTTTACCGGTATTATTACTGGCTTAGAGAGGTAAAGAAGTGCATCGGCAGTTGATCGGTTCCCAGATCAAGTGCATGGTTGGCGAGCATTCTACCGCTGTGCCACCGACGCCTTGACCAGTTGTTATTATTAATATTAATAAAAACCTTATGACCATTAGACTGAATCTAGGATGTGCATTTTGCCCCGTCAGCTGAATGTACCCGGATCCACGGGGAGTGATACAATTCCCACTTATCTCACCCTCTCCATACAATCGCCATGACAGCCTCACACCGACGACCCACTCGTCGCTTCCCATTCGGATTCCACTCGAGTGCTGGCCTGCATTGACCGCAATGTCATTCTACGGTTTCCTAAACGTATGGCTATCATCCCATCCCCATTTTCTCCTACATATTTGTTGAGCGATTCGCTCTTGCATGTTGATTTATTGACAGTCAGAGTTTCTTATTGCTAATTTTTTCTGGCCGGCTGGCCATTTCATCTTCAGTTTTAAGCCGGTGAAGGCAGCTGTTGAAAAACGTCTATTGTGGTTTGTTGGAAATCCTTTTCGTGACTGACAATCAGTGCAAGTTTCTGACCCATATAGAGGAGGACAGACTTCATATTAGTGTTGAAAATTCGAATCTTATTGTTTATGCTGGCTGGCTGAGTGAAGCAGAAGATTTCCAAACTGGTTTCAGGTTGATGAAGGCGTATCTTGCATTTCCAATCCGCACTGACTAGCTTTGACATATTCACCCGTTCGAGGTTCTCGTAGTTGAAACGATGCTTCCTGGCTGGATAAGTGAAGGAAGTGACCTCTCCCAAATCTATCCTTTCGGAGGTCATTGGTACTGGTTCTTTATGTTCACCTACACTCCTGTCTTCGCCATCCACCAGCCCCTTCTTCCAGTTTGTTTGTTTTCGCCTGCCTGTTAGTCTTCGAGTTTGTGTGACATGAGACATATATCATCCACGCGCGAAATCCAGATCTTCTAGAGTTTTGTTATCGTTGGTCCAACGTATTTCCGTCACCTCGCTCCCCGTAGTCTCACGCATAATCCAGTCCACCACAATTAAGAATAACGTTGAATATACAATAATAGACAGCCAGCCCTGTCTTACTCTTGTATGGACTTCGAACGCCTCGCCAAATTTTCCGTTGTAGATCAATCACCTGACACATGCCACTGTCACATATATATAATATAACTAAATTAGATGGGTCAGTCTACTCCCCCTCTCCCTTGCCTACTCACACATTTTGCATGTGCTCATTTTTTGGTTTCCGAATTATTTATACAGGGGTGTGATTCTTTTTAACTTAAATATTAAAATATTACTAAATATTAAATATTACTAAATTAAATAAACAAATAAATATACAAATGTGAATAGTTTTGATAATGTTACAAAATGTAGCACAAAGCTTTTCAGGTGACCATTTAAGGTTAACAGTCTATTTTAGGTTATGAGTCTGCGTTTATTTCATTATAATTTAGCATTTTTAATTTGTACAGAAATAAAATTAAATATATACTTTTTTCAAATATGTATACTTCTACTACTACTTAGTCCTCAAATATGCTCTCTAGATAATGTCACATTCATGAAAATATTCAATTCTATAACAGGCAATTTTGGTAATTTAGATGGCTGGATGCAGTTGGTAGGAAGCCTAGCCAGCTGACTTGGGTTTCGTGCTAGTAGCCACTCACCACCAGTCAGCAAGGAGTATTTTCAAGCTTGAAGGAAGTCATATCCCTTCTGAGATTCAAGCTCGCGTCACCCAGTGGAGGTGCAGTCAGTCAGAGACGTTACCACTGAACTATTCAGGCTAACGATTGACCTCCTGTAGGACTATATTGGATACTGGTGTAATGTGTCCAGTCCTTTCTTTGGTTCAGACTGAAAAACTTACCATCTTCAGATGACATTAATTTTGTCAAATATACTGACGACCTGACAGTGTCTTTGCCTGTCAAATGTCAAAGTGACTGCTCTAAACTAAATGGCTTTCTATCAGAAATCAGCCAGTGGTTCAAGGAAAACGGTCTTACCTTAAACCGCTCCAAATGTCATACAGTCAATTTCACCTTAAGGCATAGATCTGACCTAAACAAACTGGTTAGCTCTCATGAGGTGTGCAACATAGATGGCACTGAAATAGAAACCAAGTCGGAAATCAAATACCTAGGCGTCATTCTATCTGCTGATCTCTCCTGGTCGTCTCATATATTGACGATTTCTAAGAAAATATTACGTCTTACCTTCTACGTCAGGAAGTTAAGATATTCTGGTATAACCCAACCCCTACTCCTACAATTCGTTAACTCTCGCATTCTGCCTATTATTCTCCATTGTTCCCCTTAGTTTTTCACGGGCTACTGAAGAAAGACTATAACATATTACACAGCATGTTAAATGTTGTCAGCAGGGTAAGGCAACGTGCCACTTAACCAGCTTGTTAATATTCTGGTTGACAGACACTTGGACTCATGTGAAAAATGGGCTAAATCCATTTTATCTAACTCACACTACCGTCTTCATTCACAACTCTCTCCTTGCATCTCATCAGGCAGAACCAGAAGCCTATATAGAAAACTATATGCTCGCACCAGCAAGTACAAAAACTCAACCATACCCTACTTAGCTCGTGTTCTGTGCGATAAAGAAAGCATTAGGCGTAACACCTATAATTCATTAAATAGTCAGTAGAACAACTGGATCTCGTCTTTCCAACTCATATCATTTATAGGTACAACGTTTTCTTTCATGTCCTTTTCTACTTTTTTTGTAACGTGCTGCTTTGTTTCTCTCTTCCTTACAAACTCTATTCAAAACATTCTTTTTCATTCTTTCACACTCTGTATTTCCCGATCTTTCTTTACCGCTTACACCAGTAAATATGCTAGCAACTACTTTTCTAACACCTTCAAACACTCTGTTCTATTCTGGCTTTACTACCGACATGCCAATATGTTGTTGTCATAATGAAATGAGATTTCCTTAATCTATATAGAATTTTATTTATTGATAATGTACTAACTGGATGCAATACTGTAGTAAAAATGCTGAGAATTCCATTCTGTATCAAAAGTACTGTTTTGGAATAAAACAAATTATTATTATTGTTATTATTATTATTACTATCGTTGAAGGCAATCGGCAGGAAGCCCTGCTTCATCTAGGTTTCGTGCTTGTTGGCACTCCCTAGTCAACAAGGCGTAGCTACAAGCCTGAATATATCAGTGGTAACGTCTCTGACTGCAGCACCGGGTGACGTGATATGAGTTCCTTCGAGGATGTAGATACGCCTTGCTAATAAGTGTTAACTAGCACGAAATCTTGGCGGGAGGCTTCTTGTGGCCAACTGCCTCCAACCATCTGAAGTAGCGTACAAATTTTAAAATACGCGGAATTAAACATTCAATGTTCAATAGTTTCTTTTTTTATAAATCTCAAAACCAAACATTCAACTTACACCACCAACAATATCTTTATAATCATCTTCATTATCATCCACATGATTATTAGGACTATTAGCAGGCGATTTGATTCCGTCAATGGGATTTGGATTCATGGAATTATCAATGGATGTTTTCACTGGCCTTTGGAATAAGGGGGGTACATTACCACTAGTACAACTACTATTACTAATATTGACACCAGAACAGCTATTTCCGACTGGTTGACTTGAGTTCACATCTTTGAATATGAAGAGAGAGAGAAAGAAAAGCATGTTAGCAAATTAGTAAATTAGTTAGTGCACGAATTTGCAAATATTTTATATTCTGACTGACTGACCGACTGGTTTCAACATAGAACTTTGTACAGATGTGCAGCAGTTCAAGTCGCCATACTTCACTCAGCACACAAAGCAAGAGAAGAAAGTAAAAAGAAACGCAAAATAGAGAGAGTAAACAGAGACATGAGACAAGAAGAATAGTAATATCGAAGAACAATTATTAAACGTGACAAGGAGTGGATGCATTGGTTCTTATCATCCCGGCTGGCTGGCTGCCTTAAACTAACTGTTGTTTTGACCACTTCGGGTTCTTTTCCAACCTTATCCATCATATGTCAGTCAGCTAACATCGCCTGTTATCGAGGAAGTCAATGGCTAGGCATACGTAACACGTGTCCTAACTATCTCAATCGATGTACCTCCACAGCCTCATCGACTGATTTCCCCTTCCACTTACCTAGCACTCAACCGATGTCTAACCTCAATATTCCTTACCCTACTATACCAATTAACACAGGAGATAGAACGTAGGTACCTGTGATCAAAGACAGCTAGCTGGTCTTTTTATGTCTTCCACTCTCAATGGCCAGGTCTCACTCACAGCCATAAAGGAGGACGGAGAAGACAGCTGAGCAGTACACGCGCCCTTTGGAAGACAGCCAGCCGGATATCACGTCTACGGCAGAGACGGCGTAAACTGGCATATGCGAAACTAGCCTTCTGTATCCGTGCTGAGATTTCATCAGCGATCAACCCGTTCGCGGTGGCTGATGCGATTCCGAAATAAGGGAAGTGGTTAACACTCTCCACCAACCACTTCACTCCCTACATCTAACCTAGGAGTCAATGTAGTCCAGTCCTGTAACATCATCTTACATTTCACAGCAGGAGCGAATCGCATGCCGAACATTCCTAGATTGCAGGTCAAGGTGTTCAGAAGATTCTGCTCTATTTTGTCAGCGTCTTTATATATTCAGATATTTAATGTTTTCATCAGACAACGCCATACGTCAGATGGCCAGGAAGGATTGGCAACAAAGAACTCGGGGGAGGGAACGAACTAACCAACTTATTGCTTAACAAATATGCCAAAGGAAATGGGATAAGTCGAACATTGAGTGATATTACACACAACAGATCCTCGAGTGGAACCCGAATGAGATGATGACTCGGGCATTGATTCAGGGGTGAAGTGGAGGAGACTGTGAGAATGAGATGAAAACTTATAGACCCTCTAGACAACACCGCAAACAACAGAATGAAATGGTAGGTAGTTACCTGGAGTTCCAGTGGGAAGTCGTGAACAGTAGGGTGCAGCAGGTCGGGTGTGAGGACAAATACTCGCCCTCGAAGACATTGGCTAGCGATTGCGCTATATCGTGAATTGGCAGAAGTTGGAATTCATGGGTTGGTCATTGGATCGGGTCCCAGTGGCTTAATGGTCTACGAGCTCGCCTTGTAACCAGAAGGTCCTGGGTTCGAATCCCGGTGGGTGCGTACTGATGAAGAGTACCAAAGTAGGACGAAACAGCTGTCCAGTACTTCCAGGTTTTCCAATGGTTCTCTAACCAATGTCAGCTCATGATGAAATCCTCTAACCAATCAACCAAATCCCTACAAACCAATACTTGAATAAGAATGAAGTGGAGATGTCCTGTTAAAGATCTATGTCTCGCTCGGAAATCCATGGGAATGATAGTGATAATAATACAAGTGAATTTGAACACAATAACTAACTATACTTGACAATCTCGGAGAGGGATGTGACACTCTTTTCTAAATCAGTAAGTGAAAGATGAAAGAGGCTTCATACGCAAGGCATTTTCAAGCCAAGAAAAGTGTTTCAAACAGTGTTTCAGAATCAGCGTACAATCTGCGCGCAAATCCAGACAACGATTATTAGTACTCCCTTGGGTTCCGAGTAAAACATAGGGCTTCAATACCTCTCCACTCTTTTCGATTTTCCGCTGTCCTCTTCAGCTGGCTAGCTCCACGATTGACCAAAATCTCTCATCTCCTTCTCCTCCTCCTCCCTCTCGACAACACGATCTCCTCCATGTCACACTCTCACCGACGACTGACTCGTCGCTCCCCGTTGGGATTCCACTCTAGCCACCATCTGCATTGAGCGCGATGCCATTCGAAGCCCTCCTCAACGTATACCTGATCAATCCATCTCCATTTTCTCCTTCATTTTTGTTGAGCAATCCGCTATTGCTTGTTGGTTTGTTCCCAGACAGAGTTTCTTGCTGCGAATTCACTCTGGCCAGCTGGCCGGCCATTTCATCACCAGTATGTAACCAGAGAAGGCAGCAGTTGATAAATACTTTTCGTGACTGACACGTAGTGCAATTTTGTGACCCGTATTGAAGGACCGGCTGCATATTTGTGTTAAAAATCCGAATCGTGTTCTTTATGCTGACTGAGTGACAGCAGAATATTTCCGAACTGGTTTCAGGTTGATGAAGGCGTCTCTTACCTTTCCAAACCCCATTGGCCGTCTTTGACATTTTTATCCGTTCCGATTGTCTGTAGTTGAAACGAAGCTTCCTCGTCAGATAATTGAAGGAAGGAGGTAACCTCTGTCAAATCTTCTGCGCTGACGGTGATTGATTGTTGTTGTTGTTGCTGCTAGTTAGTTACCTGGTTGGTTATCTTCATCACCTCCGTCTTCTCTATGTTCACCTGCAATCCTGTATTTGCTGGCCGACAGCCTTTTCCTCCAGTTTGTTGGTTTTCGCCAGCCTGTAATTTTTCGAATTTGTGTGACACTGCAAAATCCAGATCGTCTAAAGTCTTCTTATCGATCGTCCAGCGTATTCCTGTCCTCCCAATCCCTGTGCACAGTCTGACTCATAGTCCAGTTTACCACAATTAAGAATATCATCGGTGATAGTATGCAGTCTTGTCTTACTCCTGAATTCGCTGAGTTTTCCGTTGTGAATCACCTGACACGTGACACTGTCATACAACCAGCTGTTGAATGAGGTTAATAAAGACTTGGGGGACACACACAAATTTGACCTACGATCAAATTCCTTTTTCTCAATAAAGAAGCTAACAGATGTTGTAAGTGCTTAACACACACACACACACACAAGGGGGGAGTCAAGACGAAGCAGAAGACGAAGAGATCAGAAAGAACAGTCAGATAACATATTTGGCTTGTTTGTTGGTGTGTGTGCTTGTGTGTTTATCCAAGAAAGAAAACGAAGAAAAGACATACTTCTGTATAATTCTTATCTAGAAGATTAAAGAAACGCACCATATCACACAGTATCTACGACTATTCAAGATATATATAATTTACTTTTTATTTATTTTTGATTACAGCTTGATTCCACACCGCATTTTTTGGTACAGGTATGGAATTTTCAGCATGTGATATCGGTAGCCCAAATTTTGCAGGCCAACCATAGATATCAGGTGTGCGCGTCGGCAGGGGATCGAACCCCGGACCATTTTTGCATGATCGGCGAGAGTCATAACCGCTGTGCAACCGACGCTCCAGGACATTTGATCTCCAGCGGATTCGATTCGGGGCTTGGAACACGTTCCCCTTAAGATATTCATCATGGAAAAACTGCGAGTCATAATCGTTTCGAGAAAGCATAGTTCGATCGACTGACTGGTAAACTGAAAGATTTGACTGACGAAGTCGTTCTAAAAAGAATCGTGTACTTAACAATATTTTGGTGATCTGACGTAGTAAGATTCATTCAACAATATGAAGACTGTCACAGTCACTGTGTAAACAGTGGGTGGAATAATCATTCTTGTTCGTTCATGAATGCATGCAGCTCCATAATAGCGTCCATTGCATTTGTTTCCATCTATGCATACACTATTAATAGGATTACATACTTGGGAAGTACCATCAGCCAGTGCCAACGGGTTGATCTCCGACGAAATCGCAACACGAATACAGAGGGCTAGGTTCGCATACGCCAGTTTACGCCGTCTCTGGCGTAGATGTGATATCCAACTATCGACCAAACGCGTGTGTACTGCTCAACAGTCCACTCCGTCCTCCTTTCTGGCTGTGAGACCTGGCCATTGAGAGTGGAAGACATCAAAAGACTAGCTGTCTTTGATCATAGGTGTCTGCGTTCTATTTCCCATTTGAAGTGGTATAATAAGGTGAGCAATATCGGGGTTAGGCATCGAGTGCTACGTAAGGAGGGGAAATCAATCGACGAGGCTGTGAAATTACATCGACTGAGATGGTTAGTACATGTGTTACGTATGCCTAGTCATCGCCTTCCTCGACAACAGGCAATTTTAGCTGATATAGGGTCAGACTGACAAAGAGCTGGCGGTGGTCAAACGAAGACATGGCACAAGTCAATGAAATCCACAACAGTTAGTCTAGGCCACGTAGGAAGGTGTAGACTTCCTGACTGGTTGGGGTCCTCGGGATGGTAAAAACCAATGGTTGGAAACAATTGGTGACATGGCTCAAAATCGTTCTCAATGGCTAGCGCAGATGCATCCACTCCTTGTGACTTATGATTTCCAATGAAACTGTTTTGTTCTTCGTTATTACTATACCTTTGTCTCACACCTCTGTTTACTGTCTATATTATGCATTTCTTCTACTTTCTTCTCTTGCTTTATGTGCTACATAGAGGAAGTGTGGCGACTTGAACTGCCGCACATATGTGCAAAGTTCTATGTCAAAAACCGATCAACCGAGGATTACATACGTTCCGTGGTTCACAATTGCACTTTAGTGTACAATTTAGACCATATAATTACCAGGTGGACATGCATCTTGGCAAGCAGGAAATCCCAAGAAGCCAAGACTGGCAAAGCCCAAATTTACATCCAACACCATTAGTTGTCGTTGAATCACACGCATCCTCCAAACAACAGTGACACTCGTAAGAACAATTCTTACCAAATCTTGATGGCTGATTCGTACAAACACTTTTTAATAACGGATGTATACAAAATAAAGTAAAAATGAATTAAGAATACTGGGCACAACCATAGAATACCATCAAATGTATAAGACACGTTTTAATATTCATATTGCATATATTTTATTGTAAAAAAAAATAATCGAGCAGACGGGAGTTGCGTCATTGGTGATATATCTGTCTGTGTGCAAGTTACTAGTGTAAAAATATAAGAAATATTCAAAAGGTCACACGTCATAACCAGTTAGCTAGCTAAGTTCTAGCCACTAAAAGGCTTTCAGCTAATTTAACATTTAACTATTCGTTATACACGCTATGCCTTGCTGTTCATTAAATTAGTTTATTTTCCTTCTCCTATGCATTTATCACCATCAATAGCCACTGTTTCAAACACTTAAGTCTTATTCATCATTCATTGTGACACAGGGTTTATCGTTATTGCCTTAGGTTCTCTGAGTGGAATATAGGGCTTCGAAAGAACACTACCATCTCCTCGTGCTCCACTGCAATCCTTCTTCTAGCTGACTCCCATAAGCTTGCATTTCATCCGGACACAATCTCCTCCGTGTTACCCTCCTCTTACCCATGTCCAACTTGTTTCCCATTCGGGTTCTATTCGAAGATGTACCACCCTGGAGAGTGATATCACCCAACGGTTTCCCTAGCATGTGTCCAATAGGTTATTGAATATTTTCAGAGTTCTAAAGGTTCCTTGTTGAAAATCCTTTCCCGTCGGCCATCTGATCTTCAGTAAAGACAGTAGGTCTGTTAGAAATGCCTCTGGTGACGCTGGCGCGCGCGCGAAATCTCTGAACTATACAGAAGCATTGATTCACTTGTTAACAATTTTGAAAAAAAAATAATCTTGTTCCTTGTGCTGAATGCAGTACATTTTTACACTGATTTTCTGACGTAAAAAAATTCTCATAAGTAGTATAAATTGTGAACTATGTAACATTCTAATAAATTTATTTGTACAGCAAATAAAGATGATCAAATTTGAATACTTGACTAATAGAATTCAGTCTGCACCAATCGAAATCAAGAACTCGGTGTATAACATTGTTCAGATTCTAATGACCGACCAATTATTATTATTATTATTATTATTATTGTTCTCTTAGGTTCCTAGTGGAACATAGGGCTTCAAATGCACGCCTCCACTTGCTTCTGTCTTCTGCTGTACTTTTCACCTGCATCCATGTTAGTCCATACTGTTTCAGCTCCTCTTCACACGATCTCCTCCATGTCACCCTTGGACGTCCCACTCGCCGCTTCCCTTTCGGGTTCCACTCGAGTAATGGCCTGACGCGCGATGTCACCCAGCGGCGGCCTCCTCAGCGAGTGTCTAATCCATCTCCACTTTCTCCTGCATATTTGTTGGGCGATTGGTTATTGTTTTATTTGTTCCCATAGTTTCTTGTTGGTTGTTGTTCTTTCCGGCCATCCGATCTTCAGTATAGAACGAAGACAGTTGTTGTTGATAAAGGTCTACAACCTGTTGGAAATATTCTTTGTGACCCGCCAAGTTTCTGATCCGTATAGAAGAACTGACTGACTTGACGTTTGTATTGAAAATCCGAATTTTGTTGTTGATGCAGGCTGAGTGACGAAGATTTCCAGATTAGTTTCAGGTTGATGAATGTGTTTCTCGACTTTTCGATTCTCGATTTAACATCGGACTAACCAAACTATCAATTTAATTGAGTGATAGCAGATCGTCTTAACTTCCTTACATGGAACGTTAAGCAATTACCATTTGACGAAGACCACTGACTAATTTCTGATAAAACGTTGTTCGTTTTAGAACAGAATGAGAAAAGAGAAAAGGAGAAAGAACAGATCCGTGAGGAATACCAGCTAGAATAAGTGAAACAGTGGAGGACTTTCCATTGTCAACAGAGTATTGCTTTCTATCAGAAAAATAGGAATACAAACACTTCTTAGTCCAGCATCCTGCTTGTGTCTTAGCAAGCTTGTTTAACAAAAGAGACCCGGCAACAGATTCAAAGGCAGATGTGTAATCTAAGAAGGTACACCAGGCTTATTTGGGGACACATTGCAGAAATGAACCTAAATGGCCAACGATGAGGACTTTTTTGATTGGATTGTAGTAACTAGTGTGTGATGTTTAGTCCTTTCTTTGGTGTATACTGAATTCTATCAGTCAGGTTTGCAATGTGGCCACTATTCTGGGTAGCTCAACATCACCAAAGAAGGGACTAGACACATCAATCACACTAGTTACTAGTATCCAATCAAAGTATCCAATACAGTCCCTACAGAAGGTCAACAGCGAGTCCAAATAGCTCACTGGTGACGTCTCTTACTGACTGTAGCACTGGGTGACGCGGGTCCAAATCTCAGAAGGGACACGAGTTCTTTCAAGGTTGCAGATACATCTTGCTGACTGGTGGTGACTGCCAACTAGCAAGAAACCTAGGTGGAAGGAAGGCTTCCTGTGGCCAATTGCCTCCAACCATCTAATATCATCAGATAAAGACTTAATCAATGCATATGTAGACAAAGATAGTGGAGTTGTCTTACTAGGAAAATCAGATAATATAGAATGAATTTCACATGGATGGAATTACAAAAAAGTGGAAACATAGGAAAAGCTGACTTCAGAGCACACCTTGACAAGAATATCACTTAAAAGTTCACCAGAAATCAATAACCCACTAATCCTATTCGTAAAAATACATAGAAAGAGAAAATAATAATCTCAATGTAGAGATCACTGAAGAAAACTAGGAAGCACCAGACAGCCGAACTAATTCAGGACTCGTCAGAAGTACAAACCGGCTACCCTACCAGAGACCGAACCTCGAGACATTCAGGCAACAAGACCAAGCTCGCTGATTGTTCAACCATTTGAGTTGGAATCCTGGAAGTGGAAGTGCTTTTAAAAGTGTGTGGGTGGTTGTTACTTCCCGGGTGCCCACACCGTGGAAGTTGGTTGATTCTTCAAGTACCTGAAACAGAAAGAGGGTTAGTGTTGCGTGACCGCAGAGCCCAGGGGACAACTGCTTGAGACCGGTCACACACGGCCTGTATGAACTGGTTTCTTGGTTTGGTTACGTATTAGTAAACTTACCGCCGGTTACGGGCCACCGTAGGGTAAGTCGGTATGTACAATGCTTGGGGTTGACCTTTTCTAACCCCCTCTCTCCGGAGTGGAGAGACGGCATAGCTGGCTGACATGCTGGTCATCTGAGAGAAGCACCTTACTGTGGCTGTTACATCCTTGTTCCCCAGTAGTACGACTTCGCCCACAGACCTCCAGCATAGTGTAAGAAAGATTCTTACACAATGCCGGTAACTGCGTTTAGTCTAATCGCTATCTTAACAACCTTCCTGGCATGGTAGGACCTGCAGGAACATTGGTTCCAACCAGTGCAGCTTCTTAGGCCATCGCGATGTGCAAGCCCGACCATCACGTCAAGGTAGCAGCTGTCGGTCGAGGGGTTGGAATCCACTGACTCTTGAATTCGAATTTCTGTCAATCTGTGACACAGAGGTACCCTGAAACAACAATGCCTGCGATGAGTATCCACTTCGGCTTTAAATGGTGGCGGAACGCACTGGTCACGAGACTTCTGGCTATAACTTCATAACATCTATCCATTAGCTATCAGTAAAAAGAAGATTAATATTTAGATTATTGGATTTTTTAGGAATTTGAATCAATTTCAACTCAGTATCAAAATTTTCAAGTATTGGTTTTTGCAGGGATTTAGTTTGATTGGTTGGAGGATTTCATCATGAGCTGACATCAGTTAGAGAATCATTGGAAAACCAACAGAGAGTATTGGACACCTGTTTCGTCCCACTAGTTTACGATTCTTCATCAGTAGGCACCCATTACAGGGGTTCGAACCCAGGACATCCCAGTTACAAGACTAGCGAGCAGGCACATAGACTCGTTTCAGCCCGACTGGCCCTATTCAGGCATTGACCTGGGGTTCTAGTGGGAAGCCGTGACCAGTAGGGTACAGCAGGTTGAAGGTGAGGACAGTTACCCATCGAAGAAGACATTGCGAAGTGGTCACGCTATGTCATGCGTGAATTGGCAGAAGTTGGAATTCATGGGCTGGCTTGCCATTGGATAGGGTTCCGGTGGCTTAATGGTCTACAAGCTCATTAGCCTTGTAACCAGAAGTTCATGGGTTCGAACCTCAGTAGGGTGGGTGTATACTGGTGAAGAGTCTCAAACTAGGCTGACGAAACAGCTGGCTGTCCAACACTCCCATTTCACCTCATGATCAAATTCTCCAACCAATCAGTATCTAAATATCAATCTCCAACTCACTGATGTCTCCTGAATAAGCATCATGAAGATGTATTGTGAAGTTTAAACCAGTAGTGTTCACTATGTCACAGTAAATTAGATATTCATGGAAGGCATTTTTCAGTTATCACAAATAGACAGAAGTTAGAATTCACGGGTCACTACTCGATTCCGGCCCAAGTGGTTCAACAGTCAACGAGCTCGCTCTCAATACCTGAAGGTCCCGGGAGTTTTGCTGATGAAGAGTCCCAAACCAGGACGAAGCAACTATCTAGTGCTCCCTGGTTTTCGCTTATGTCTAACTGATGTTAGCTAGTGACCGAATTCACTTCAAAATAAACCCGAATTCCAGCAAAAAGTATCATCTAAGCAATAATAATAACAATGGTAATCGTACCTGTATTCATAGCAGAGAAATCAACTAATTCAGCTACACGAGCCAATTGCTGTACCCAATCTGACATAATTTTGTTATCTGCAGCAATGAAATAATAAATTCGTTTATGTCCATTGAATAAGGTTGTCAGTGAAAAAGCACACGGTTGACCACCGATATTGACATTTTCAACAATACACTCACAATGCTCTAAATCAACACGACCTGTAGAGACAGGGTGAGAAAAGAAAAAAAAATAGAAGTAATATATGAATAAAAACAGATTTTGAATAAAGCAAGAATAACAACAGTGATTTGAGCAGAATAAAATGATACCATCACATCGTTTATTTCGTTGGCTTCGCATCAGCTCAGCTGCTTACAGGACAAAGTTATTATTGAGTATATCTACAGAAACGATTTTAACATACTTGTCTGTGCGTCTGTCTGTTTTCGACATAGAACTTTGCACATATGTGCGACAGTTCAAGTCGCCACACTCCCTCGTTGTAGTACACAAAGCAAGAGAAGAAAGTAGAAGAAATGCATAATATAGACAATAAACAGAGGTGTGAGACAAAGGAATAGTAATAATGAAGAACAAAACAGTTTAATTGGAAATCATAAGTCACAAGGAGTGGATGCATCTGCGCTAGCCATTAAGAACGATCACTTTGAGCCATGTCACCAATTGTTTCCAACCATTGGTTTTTACCATCCCGAGGACCCCAACCAGTCAGGAAGTCTACACCTTCCCACGTGGCTTAGACTAACTGTTGTGGATTTCATTGACTGGTACCATGTTTTCGTTTGACCACCACTAGCTAGCTCTTTTCCAGTCTGACCCTATATCAGCTAACATAGCCCGTCGAGGAAGGTGATGGCTAGGCATGCGTAACACATGTCCTAACCATCTCAGTCGATGTAATTTCACAGTCTCGTCGATTGATTTCCCCGCCTTACCTAGCACTCGACGCCTAACCTCAACATTACTCACCCTATTATACCACTTCACACAGGAAATAGAACGCAGACACCTATGATCGAAGACAGCTAATCTTTTCATGTCTTCCGCTCTCAATGGCCAGGTCTCACAACCATAAAGGAGGACGGAATGGACTGATGAGCAGTACACACGCCCTTTGGTCGATAGTCGGGTATCACATACTTGCACATACATAACATACTTGCACAGAGAGAGTTCATTTTAGACAAAAATCAATCAGTTAATATATGCATACAATAATAATAATGCATATAATAATAATAGAAACTTTCGACATTACGTAATCAGATGAAATAGAGGCTGAAAATATCCAGTTACCAGACTGGCAAGAAAAGACTAGTGACAACTGCTTCTTTCTGAACGCATAAATCGGATTTCAGGCGCTTGATGTAGATTACTTCGGTAAACTTCAGCAAAGAGAATTGAACTCTTTTGCCTATTGATAAGTTTGAACGATCTTACGACGTTGAAGGGAAATCAATACAGAAACTGTAAACCTATGCTTCGTGCATATTATTGGCTGGTCGTTGTTATTAAGGCATATCTACAATCTTGAAAGAGGTGGGGGGGGGCTTATGCACTCACACTGAGTTGTGAATCCGCATCACTCATGTACTATAAACAGTCAGAGACGTTACACTACAATCTAACATTAAAGCAATAAGTGTAATACTACGGAAAGTCTTCTCGATTGGCTGGTATAACTAAGTTAGCATGAACTATACGGAATAGAATATGATATTAATTACCTGGCAGTGACTAAATCAATAGATCGATAGATTTGTTTAAGATCAGAATGAATCATTTCACAGAATACCGTGGCAGGAAACATAAAGTTTATAAGCATACGTACTCGGTGTATTAATTAAGAATAGATTATGTAATTTTATTGAGTCGGTGGCACAGCCATAGAATGTCCTCCAAACACGCTATATGATACGGGGTTCGATCCCCGGCCAACGTATTCCTTTACGTCGCTGAGCCAGTAACAAGACTAGTAAACAGAGAAAAGGTTGGGCACGAAGCTAGCAACCCCATCTCATAAAAATAAATGCCACTGCTACTGAAAATTCAAGCCTCTAGCTTGAAGCCCTATGTTCCACTGGGAACGTAAAGGAATAAAATTTAAAAAATAAAATATTTACAAATAACTTGATGCAATCCAGCTAACGTGCTGACCTGATAAGCCACTGAAATAATGCCATGTGATCCGCCTCTGTCTTATGTAAGATGATGCTTCATAACTGGTCTGAACCAACTTTGAGCATGCTAACCATTTAACTTATTCGGAGAGACTGACTGATCACGAAATCTCAGCACAGATACAGAAGGCTTGTGTGACATTTAGAAGTACAACTGATAAGGTATACAAGACACACATGTCATGCAGAGCCACTGCCTCACTCGACAAGCAATGTTAGCTGGCATACAATCAGTTCGGAAAAGATTTAGGAGTGGTCAAGTCGAAATCTGACAACAACGCATGAAATCCCTGACTTTTGGTGTCAACCAACCATGTAGGCAGGTGAAGACTCTCAGGTTGGTGCCCACAAAATCATTAATTATTATTCGCTTGAGTTCCGAATGGAACATACGCCTTCAATGAAACATCTCCACTTCGTCCTATCTTCTGCCATCCTCTTCAGCTGGTTAGCTCCACAACTGACCATAATCTCTCATCTCTTCTTCGCACGACCTCTTCCATGCCACTCTCGCACCGAAGACCCACTCATCGCTCCCTATTTAGCTGCCACTCGAGCTATGGTTTGCATTGCACTCCATATCATTAGATGGCTTCCTCAATGTATGCCCGATACATCTCTATTGTCTCCTGCATATTTGTTGAGAAATCCTCACTTGCTTGTTGGTTTGTTCACAGCCAGAGTTCCTTGTTGGTAATTCACTCTGGCCAGCCGGCCATTTGATCTTCAGTATGGAGACAGAAAAGGCAGCTGTTGATAAATGTTTGCTACCTGTTGGAAATCCTTTTCGTTACACGCCAAGTTTTTGACTTATACAGAAGAAATGACCGACTTGATATTGATGTTGAAAATCTGAATCCTGTTCGCTATGCTGACTGAGTGCAGAAGAATATCAAAGTGGTTTCAGGTTGATAACGGCGCATTTTGCCTTTCCGTTTCTGCCTAGCTTTGATATCTTCATCCGTCCCAACTGCCCGTAGTTGAAACGACACTTCCTAGGTGGGTGAAGGAAGTAACCTCTGTTAAATCTCTCCTTTTGATTTAGGAGTAAATGGTTGGAGACTATCAACGATATCACTCTAAATCGTTTTCAATGACTCACATGCAATTGCTATGCGTAATCACCCAGATCCATTAAATCCTCATGTTTTTCTACGTTACTAATTTTCTTTCTGTTTTACATTTCTGCTTATTATTATTATTGTTTCCCCTAATTCTTAGAGGAAAACAGGGCTTCAGCCTCACGTCTCCATTGTGTTCGGTTCTCCACCAACGTTTACACATGACTCCACGCCTGCATATATGCTTTCGTCCCCTCTTCACATGACCTCCTCCATGTCACCCCACCATCGCACCGACGACCAGCTCGCCACTTGCCATTCGGGTACCACTCGGATAATGGCCTGGTGTGTGATAACACTCACTGAATGGTTTGTTTCCTCAGAGTATGGACAAACCATCTTCATTTCTTCCTGCATATTTGTTGCACAATCGGTTCCTGCTGGGTTGCTTTGCACTTCGCCAGAGATCCCTGTTGCTGATCATTCCTGGCCGGCTATCTGAGCTTGAGTAGTATTGAGAGAAGACACCTGCTGATAAATTCCATATTGGTTTGTTTATTAGATGCATCACGCAGTGAAACAGTACCATTTACTGGATGACACACTTTCGAACAAAATTTATTATTCATAATCATATCAATTGTAATCACACGACTTTGAAACTTGAGTTTTATAGTTTGCTTTGTTCTCTCCTATTTTTTGTCGTAAGGGTAGTAGAATTTTCCAGATATCCGAACGGACGGGTGTTGAATAATTCCTATTACATGTATTTGCAGTTGATTCGATAAACGAAGCTTCTGTTATCAATCTCTCCCTCCACCCAGCTGTTAAATTATATTTTAAAACTGTCATCTTATCCCATCCTATTGTATGGTTGTGTGTAACTGCATATAGTACTATAGCTGATCTGTTCTCTAGATTTCTTATCTATAGTGCTATATGCAGTTACACACAACCATACAATAGGATGGGATAAGATGACAGTTTTAAAATATAATTTAACAGCTGGGTGGAGGGAGAGATTGATAACAGAAGCTTCGTTTATCGAATCAACTGCAAATACATGTAATAGGAATTATTCAACACCCGTCCGTTCGGATATCTGGAAAATTCTACTACCCTTACGACAAAAAATAGGAGAGAACAAAGCAAACTATAAAACTCAAGTTTCCAAGTCGTGTGATTACAATTGATATGATTATGAATAATAAATTGTGTTCGAAAGTGTGTCATCCAGTAAATGGTACTGTTTCACTGCGTGATGCATCTAATAAACAAACCAATATGGAATTACTTACTACTACAGTGACCAAGTTTTACACATAAAGGTGTGTAGTTTGTTCGAAGTGCCCTTCGTGACACAGCACCAAGTCTCTGATCCATATAGTAAGTAACACTGACTTCCCATTGGAGTTAATAATACGGATCTTATTTTTCATGCTGAGTGGTGCTTAGTGTAGTCTTTTTGAATCTCTTTTTTGTCTCTTTTATCAACTTTTGTATGCTACATGGGATGTGGTAACACGAACTGCTTTACTTCTATGTGTGAGTTTCTCTATTGAAACTCTATGAGTTATATGATATCCATCCATTAGTAGCGGTCAATAAACTACACTTATCGTGTGAGAGTCGATAATACTACCACACATGGGGCCAGGCTAAAAAGGTTGGAGTAAAATTCGAACCTAAAACCTATTAGCTGGCTGAAAGTCAGGTGGTGAAGCCAATAAAAGACGACATCCATTATAAAGGCAAAAACTATGAAAAGATTACTGACACAATAAGTATTACTTAATAATTTTTAGGATTTAATATAAAACTAGAAAAATATAATTGTAGATTTCCGGTCAGGATTATTTATTTACTGTTCAGTGGAATGAATTTACCGCAAATGAATAAAAGTATCATAAAATAACGTTAAAGAGGATTTCAGTTCATATGAAACCGTAATACAAA